AGCCAGCCTTTCATGAGCTGAAAACTTCAAGCCCTCATGGTTGGGTTGAACTCTATAGTGAGAGGGTTAGTCTTTAATGTTTTACTAAGCACCAGCTGCTTTCAAAGTCAGCCAAACTGGTCTAGAGCCCCATGACCTTGTGTACATTTTTATGTCTCACCTATTTCACGCACTTGCAGCTACGTACCTGTAATGAGTCATGATACAGGTTTCTCAGTTGTCTGCGGGTAGGAAAGCTTCAATACCAGAAGCTTCAAGACAGGCTCCTTCAGTTGACCCCTAGGTAACGTCCTCTAGGTAGAGGTAGGTTTCAGCAAGCTCAGGTGGGACTTGCCACGAGAGGGAGACATCATGCACACAGCCCATGCGTCCCCTGAACACATCCACCTGAGCAAGACAGCCTGGCCTGGTATTTTGTAACATGTCTGGACACATGTTAGTGAGGCAGAGAGAACCCGAACTGCAGACCTTGGTTGTGCAGTAGGTGCCTGTGATAGAAAACAGGGACTTATCTCTTGGCTAGTCATCGTCTTCCAAGCATCTGCAGCATGACTAACAGTCACAGAGCTACACAGCACACAGAAAATGGAGTCTGGATCTGTTGGCAATGTGGTAGCACATGCCTGGGCCTCTCTGGGTCAGGACAGGGAGATCCTGGTGTGAGCAGGACTGTGCAGCACCAAAGGAGATGTTGCAGATACCCGCAGCTGGCTAGCGAGGCCGTTCCCTGTTCATACTGCAAACAGTAATCACAAAGGCTGAGCTACACCCTGTAACCGGCTTCAGCAGGCTGGGCTAGCGGGAGTGTTTGCACAGAGCTGTGAAAACACAGAGCTGCGAGCCCGGCCGCTGCGGCACCCGGGACAGCCACCACCGCTCGAGAGGGCTCCTTTGCTTCCTCAACACCAGCCGAGAGATTTCATGGGAGAAAAGGCCTGTTCAGTGCTCATGGGATGGCTGCCTTTGGCCTCCACATGGCGTCGGCTTTTCCCATGGCTGCAGCACAACAGCAGGGCTTTGTTTTCCTTCGGGAGGGGAATAAGCAGCTTCATCATTGTGATCTCTGCGCAGTATCCTGTTGATAAGATCAGTTAACAGCATTGGAGGAAAATTCTAGATTCAGGTCTGAAATATAAAGTGAACCAGGCCTATTTGTTTAATTTGAGTTTCTAAGGTTTAAATCCCAGAGGAAATTAAATTAGATGCCTAGAGCAATGGCAGTCTGTCATGTTTATTTGCTGGGAATGTCACCTTTAATATCATGCACATATAACGTGTGTGTGTTAATGTAATGGGCTATCATACTGTGCAGGAGCAGGCATGCTACAAGAACTGGAAACCTGAAATAGACTGAGGGAAGCTGAGATGGGATTGGATTTATTCTCACCCTTCTTCATAGGAGCAAAGACTCACTCACCAGGTTGAAGGTGGCTTTGCTGTTTGCAGGTGGGAGTGGCAGCCTGATCTATGAGCACAGGCCTTAAGGCTCTTGGGCCATTTCGATTTGTCTGCTTCTAAGAGGAGAAATCTTGTCTAGGTATGAATCCAGAATGACAATACTTCCTGCTTCAAGACAGCTGGTGTCCTGCAGACACATGCTTTCCCTTACGTCCTTGGGGGAGCTGAAGAGTGCTGGTGTCCTGTGCTGAGGGACATGGCTGCTTGTATGTTTGGTTCTACTCACACTTTGGAAACTCCCTTCTTCTTCAGAAAGGAGAGCATCTCTCCCCAGTAGCAGGGGGTAGTAGGGTTTGAGGTGGGTTTTCTCTAACTCAAGCTGTTAAGGACAGGTTTTGAGTGACACACGGTAAATGTCACTGCAGCAGTTTGTCACTGCAGCCTGTGATGCCCTCCACCAAAGTTAACTGTCTGTGCAGGGCTTGCAGAATGGCGCTGCCATCTTTTCTCAGACCAGGCTGCCATTGCTTTGATCCTACAAATGTGGTCCACAAGATAGCTGAGCTGTGGGCTCCTGTCCCACTCCACTTGTCAGACCCTTCAGGGAGCCGGTTCAGCTCACTGAATCAGTGGAATTTGTGGGGTTTTTTTCAGCTGGATTACCAAAACTCACTGAGGCGGGGCAGTGAGCTGCAGATGGGCTCAGCTCTCTCAGGGTTTTGCATCCCAGGTCAGTCCTAGCCACGGTGCTCCATAGGTTTGTCTCTACTCTGGGAGTCTGTGGCTTGACTGGGACCTGACCTGTCCACCCTTCACTCTCTCCACCCTTTGCTGTTTACCTCTGCACACGCTGCCTTGTTTTCCTCCAACCTCAGAGCAGCTGGCTGCCTTGCACATGTGGTTCCCATTTCTCTCCTGCCTCTGGCACCTTGGAAGCACCCAGGGGTCTTCCTGCTGCGCCTGTCTTCTAGTCCCCCT